CTACTACTACTACTACTACTACTACGACGACGACGACGACGACGACGACGACGACGACGACGACGACGACTACTACTACTACTACTGCTACTCTTCCTGCTCCTGCTCCTCTTGCTCCTGCTCCTGCTCCTGCTCCTGCTCCTGCTCCTGCTATTGTTCCTTCTCCGCCTCCTCCTCCCCCTCCTCCTCCTCCTCCTCCTCCTCCTCCTCCTCCACCCCCTCCTCTCCCGAGTCTGCTCCCCTCACCCCCGCCCTACACGCTGGTCGGAAGAAGTGGGTGACAACATGAAGGGTGGCGTTGTTTTACTCGGCGTTTCGACATTGGGCGCGGAAGGTGGGGGGAGGGGGGGGGCTGGCTCCAGACCTCTGCTTGGTGCGACTGTTTGGAACAGTGCGTCCTATGTGGGAGACTCCACCTGCTCGAAACAGGCGCCAAAAACAGCCAAGGTCTACTCCACGGGGGGGGAGGGGAGGGGGGTGGGTGCGAGGGCCCGCACCGATCGGCAAAACAAGGAACAGAAGAACAATCACGTGAAGCAGGGAGGCGGCTGAAGCAGATTGGGTCCGGGCCCTCCCAGAGAACACCAGCAGAGCACGGCAACAGCATGTCGCTTCCTGGGGCAGGGAGGCGCCAGAAGCAGACACTGGAATCCGGGAGTCCAGACGCGCCTACTTCCCACGACCAGCGTGCAGCGCTGCCCCCCCGAGCGCGGCTTGGCCCCCTCGGCGTCGGGAGCGCCTGCTGGGCCTCCAGGCACCGCCGCAGCACCTGCACCTCATGCTTTGCATCTTTGAAGTGGCCCAGACACACACACACACACATATATATATATATATATATATACATACACACACATATCTACATATATATCTATATATAAACATATTCTCATACGCACCTCTCCGAGGGAGTAGAGCTCAGAGGCGATTAATGCGCACGCGTCCGCGATTTGTCTGGCCGTTTCGCTCGGGACATCCTCGAAATTCTGAAAATCGGTGTCACCCCTCACGCAGATCGTGACGTCAGGGTCCAAAAACACATGGGAATTTCAACATTTTAACATAAAACCTTCAAACACACATGGTAATTTCAATAATTTTGACCCCGATTCTCAGAGAATGGCGGTTTCGCATGAAAAATCCTCCCAAAATCGAGCCCCAGACCCCTCCTCGGAGCCTCCTGGGGGCCTCCTGGAACCTCCTGGGGCCTCCTGGGGCTTTCTGGACCTTCTGGTACCGCAGACCCCGCCTCGGAGCCTCCTGGAGTTCTCCTGGGCCTGTTGAGGCCGCCTGGGGCCTCCTGGGGCCTCCTGGGGCTTCAGAACTACATGCACACACAGAGACACAAATCACGCCCAACACATCACACGCAAGACAAACATAACATACACACACACACACACAACACCGACAACACACAAAAAGCACGCACCACACAAAGCACACATCACACACACACACAACACTCACAATCCTGGGGCCTCCTGGAGCCTCTTCTGGTATCCAAGTCGGGCCTCCTGAGGCTTCCTGGGGGGCCCTGGTACACACATCGCAAGGTGTGGCAACCCCACTTGCGCTCGAGTGCGACTTCGCTGTTGCATGTCACTCCTGCTTCAAACGCCCCTTCAGCTTGTTGTATGAGCCTGGGCACACACGTGCCACTTGTATATAATACACAAACATCCCAGGATTCCCTATGTTTCACAATATTTTCTAAGTTTTTGTCTTCCCCCCCACTTCCCATACGTATGTTCCAATCTTTTCCTGGGAGTCGACGATTCATTGTGTCTGTGATTCTTTCCCTCCTGAATAATGGGGGACCTCGCCAGTCCCGTCGCGCCTGCCATCCGTGTCGACCGCGTCCACTCCGTGTCGAATCGGCTACACGCAAGAGAGCGTCCCTTGGGCAAGAGTGACCTCTGGTGCACGGCTTTCTGGGAGCCGCAGAGGGGGGCCACGCCCAAGCGCGGAAGACGCACTGCCCTTAGGCGTTCGGCGATCGGGGGGCCCACTGGGCCCGCGCACCACCAACCGGCGAAGGGTCACTCCTGCCCGGACCCCATCCAGGGGTCCATCTGGTGCGGTTTCTCCACCCGCGTCCGTTTCTGACGGTCCATATGGGTTCGAAAAAAGGGCACCCAGGGGATGGACAAAACGCAAAGAACCTGTTCGAACCCAGCACCTCGAGCCTGCCCCGCCCTCCCTGCTGGCCAGAACCAACGCTAGAACTAGGCCACCTCGGGCCCCCAGCCGGCTCCAGACGCCAACGCGATACGGTGCAACCAGGTCGTCGAGCCAAGCACCGTGCAGCACCTCGACCCTGCCCCGCCCGCCCTGCTGGCCAGAACCAACACTAGAAGTGTAGGCCACCTCGGGCCCCCAGCCGGCTCCAGACGCCAACGCGGCACGGTGCAACCAGGTCGTCGGCCCCAGCACCTCGACCCGGCCCGCCCCGGGCAGAACCGGTGCTGTGGGCCGCATCGGACCCCCAGACGGCTCCAACAGGATAGGCCCCCCGGAGATGCAAAGGTCGGCGGTGGACAAACCTCCCTTTAGTCAACCTCCCCTTAGTGAAAACGGCCTGGGGCCGAAACCGACGGACCTGGACCTGCAAAGAATGACGGCCGCGGCGCCCTCTCGCGAACCGAAAACGGCCGATTCCCCGATCGACGTGTCACTGGTAGAAGGTCTACCAACCTCCGAAGGAGAGGCCCCCCGAAGGTGCAAAGGGAGCCGACCTGCAGCCGCAGGCTGCCGCAGAAGTCGCCGATGGGCCCCTCGCTCGCGGACGCCACAGGCGCAGGAGGCGCACCGGCGCAGGGCGGGACCGCCGCGCTCAGGGCGAGCCGCCCCTCGGCCATCGCCTCTCTCCTGGGCGCCGCTGCCTGCTGGGAGGCGAGGCGGTCAGGGGCCTCTGCTCGGCAAGTCGCGGGGGCGGCCTCGGCGACACGTTCGGCAGCAACTCTGGTGAGGTCCTCCTCCTCCTCCTTCCCGTCCTCCTTCCCGTCCTCCTCCTCCTCCTCCTCCTCCTCCTCCTCCTCCTCCTCCTCCTCCTCCTCCTCCTCCCCGTCCTCCTCCTCCTCCTCCTCCTCCTCGTCCTGCTCCTCCTCCTCCTCCTCCTCCTCCTCCTCCTCCTCCTCCTTCTCCTCGTCAGGACGATGGCTCTTCATCGCTCGCTGCCTCGTCAGGACGATGAAGAGGCCATCACGCCAGACTTAGCTGGAGTCGGTCCAGGATGGAGCCATTCCACACCTCCTTACGTGGGACTCAGCCAGAAGGAACCGGATGAGGCTGGTGTTCGACCGCGGACATACCAGCGCCGATTCTGAAGCTGACCTCCTGAGAGTCGCATCTCTTACCTCAGCGCGGCGCGGAGGCACACACGACCCCTTGCAAGCTGATAGCGTGTCGCTCCGCTCCGCGGGGCTGGGGGCCCGGGGAGGCTTGGGGCGTTGACGCTTGGGGACTGGGACCTGGTTGGCGTGTCGCGCCGACAAGCGGTAGGCCCACACCGACGGCGCGACACGCTAAACCAAAGATTCCGAGCGTCAACAGGGGAGGCGAAGAAACGTGCACCTTTCGTGCGCCCCTTGAGGGCCCCGAGGGTGGTGCACGAGAGGCGCACTTGTTTCATCCCCCCGTTGGTTGAGGGAGAACGAGAAGAGAGAACTGGCTCAAAGGTGGGGGGAACATCGTCCTGGAATCGGCGGTACATCGCCGGTAGATCGGCGATAGGCCCCCGATGGCCAATCTGGACGGTCCTGTGCGGGTTGGGCTATCGGGCCCCTTATCGACGATCAATGGGCGATTGGGGGTCGCTGCAGCCACCGCTCCCCAGAGCCTGCCTACCCGCCCTCTCACGCTCTCCCTCCGCGGGGGTCGAGAATCGATCCCCGGACCTCTCCTCGGCCCCATTTCGCCCCCTCCCGCCCCCCCTCACCTTTGGCGGCCGCACGGCCCAGGAGGCCTTCCGGGCGGGCCCTCCGCGCGGCCCCCGCCGCTTCGCGGCCCGCGGTTGGCAAATGGCTACGGCGCGGGCGAGGGGGGCCCCTATGGGCGGGGCAGCGGCGCCGCCTCGCCCACGAGCAGGCCAGCCGCACTGGGAGGGGGGCGGCGAGGCCACTGGAGGAGGAGGAGGAGGGGGGGGGGAGGGGGAGGGAGGGAGGAGGAGGAGGAGGAGGGGAGGAGGAGGAGGAGGAGGAGGAGGAGGAGGAGGAGGCGGAGGAGGAGGAGGCGGAGGAGGAGGAGGACAAGGAGGAGGAGGATGATGAGGAGGAGGAGGAGGAGGAGGAGGAGAGGAGGATGGAGGAGGAGGAGGAGGAGGAGAGGAGGAGGAGGGAGGGAGGAGGAGGAGGAGGAGGAGGAGGAGGGAAGGAGGAGGGGGAGCGAGGAGGAGGAGGAGGAGGAGGAGGAGGAGAGGAGGAGGAGGAGGAGGAGGAGGAGGGAAGGGGGAGGAGAGGAGGAGGAGGAGGAGGAGGAGGAGGAGGAGGAGGAAGAGGAGGTTGGAGGAGGAGGAGGCGGAGGAGGAGGAGGAGAGGAGGAGGAGGAGGAGGAGGAGGAGGAGGAGGAGGAGGGGGGGGGAGAGGCCAGCGGGGGCGAGGCCACTGGAGGAGGAAGGGGGACAAAGGTAGGAGTCAGGAGGCAACCCCTGAGACTATCGCCCCTTCACGTTGCCCCCGATCGGGGGTCAAAACAAACATCGATCCTTGGACCCTCGCCTGGGGCGCGCTCGGCCCAGGATCTCAGGGCGGGCCTGGCCGGGGCCACGAGGGCGCCCCATCACGATCCGAAACCTCCAGAGACCCTCGACCTCCATCTTCCGCACTTCCCGCGCGGGTGATGCCACGCCGCGGCCGCCGCCAGCGAGGCCGCAGCGGCGGTTTCGGCGGTCGCCGCGGCCGCGCCGTGGCGGCACGTGCTGCGCGGAACGTGCGGAAAGTGGAGACCGAGGAACTCCTGGATGGTCTCCGTCAGCGTGACGCAAGGCGGAAGGCTGCTAGGCCAGATTCGATGGCCACTGAGCCGGAGTAGGCCAGGCTGAACAGGATGAAGCCGGAGTACGAAGAGCTGAGCCGGAGTAGGCCAATACGCAATATGTATGCGACCAGGGAAACACCAGCACCAATGTATAATTTAAACTGCCAGGAGTTGTATCCTAGAGAGACACGGACTGAAAGGCAGAGAGAGAGGTACATATGCATATATATATATATATATATATATATACATATATATATAGCGAGAGGGAAACAAACACAAACATATGAAACCATAGGCAGAACAAGAGAGAGAGGGACAGAGAGACGGATATTGAGATCGAAAGAACGAGAAAGAGAGACAGAGATAAAGAGAAAGAGAGAGAGAGAGAAAGAGAGAAAACGTGACCCAGGCATACTCGCGTGGCGAACAAATGAGAACTTCAAGAGACCCCCAATGGAAACAAGCACGACGTCGCATGTCTAGGGAGAGGGGCGTAAGGGGGGCGAGGAAAAGGAGGAGGGGGAAGGAGGAGGAAAGGGAAGGAGGAGGCGGACCAGGAACAGCTGCAACGAGCGGAAAAGGAAGAGGAGAAGAAAAAAAGGACAAGGAGGACGACGCCGAGGACGATTATAAGGATGAGCGGGGAAAGGTGGAGGTGAAGCAGCAGCAAAACGGTTACATATAAAACATATGACCCGGAGGAACACGAAATTGTTAAGGAGGAGGCGAAAGAAGGAACAGAGGATTGACAAGAAGCCGGGCTGAAAGCGATGAGTTGAATGGACGACCTGAAAGAAGGTTTTTGCGCGGGACGCGGGGGAGGGAACTGAAGTGATTACCCTCGATTGTATCCTTCCTCCTCCTCTCGAATCTCTGTCGTGATTTCGAGAGCCTGTTAGTTATGCAGACACGACAGTAGCATGATCCCAAGATGGCAAAGGGCACAGCGAGCGTGCGATGAGCAGGCGCAAGAAAACATGCGGACAACAAACTGTGAGGGTCGCACTCGAAATCCACCGGGGAGCAGCCACAGCCTGGGACCTCGCTCCAATCGCCGTCGTTGTACATGACGGCTTTGGAACCTCTGACCACTCCGTCGTCCGGGACCGTTCGACGCCCTGAAGCCAGACGCTCCCTGGCAGAGGTGAAGCGGCACCAGCCGCCAGCAGCCGCGGGCGAGGGGGCCGATGCGGACCCCACGAGCTTCGGCACTGCCTTTGGGAAGGCCATCCGCTGGCATCGCAGCAAAGTGCATCCACCGCGTGGCAGTCCTGCATCCACCGCGTGGCAGGAGAGTGCATCCACCGCGTGGCCGAGGACCTCTGCAGCTCCATTGGAATTGCGCCCAGGTTGACCTTGCACTGAAAGATCTTCAGGTAGGCCGATCGTAGGTCGGTAGCTGGTTCCTCTGCCAGAATTGGAACCTGAACTTCACATCCCCAGCTTGAGCAGGTGGTCCTGGGGCGCTTCTCTAACAACATGAGCGACATGCGGGGCTGGGGAGCGCTCGCAAGCTAGAATCCGCCGTTCGGCCATGGCCAGCGCGAGCCTTCCTTGGTTGTCCAGTCCCGACGAACGGCCCAGGCTGCGTCGTGGAAGGTCGCGGACAACAGCTCCCGCAGTGGACAACAGGTCAACGCGATATGGGCCACTTCGTGAGCTGCGCGCGCGATCGCGCTGAACTTCTGCACCGTTACGTAAAGAGCCTAGATCCGGTGGGACGCCGCGATGCTGTCGCGCGCTGCTATGAGCCCCACCCCGCGGCTTGCCAGGCGTCGTAAGCCACCGATGGCCACGCCGCGGGCGGCCGCTCCAGCGGGCGGCACCCTATCCTGTAGTTGTGTGTAGACGGGCTTCTGCCACCCTTCCGTCCTCGCCAACCTCCCGGCTGCCTCGTGGAAGACTGCTAGGCGGTGCCGTCGGCTAGCTGGGAGATCTCAAGTCCGGCGTGGATGAACCTGTGGCCCTTGAGCTCCTTCCGATTTTTCTGCTACCGAGCGCATTGTCCTTGCCCGCCCCGATGGCCGCGCCGTCCACGCGGGAAAAGGCGACGCCGGCGGTCTGCTGGCGATCGCATGCGCCCCGCGCGCAGGGCTCAAGCTTCATGGGCGCCCAGCCTGCAGTGGGCATCTTCGCATAGATATCGCCAAACCCTTTGTTTTGGGGCGTCGCGCTTGCCGCGGCCCTTCTCGAGCAGCGCGACCGCCTCGTTCTCCAGGAACTGCGCGGCCTCGCGCGGCACTTTCAACCGGCCCCGCAAGCACGCCTGCCGGGGGAGACTGGAGCTGGGAGAAAGCTAAGCCCGCGTCGCCCGCTCGAAGACTGAGCTCGAGTTCGGCGCGCACCTGGGGCGCGAGATTGCGGTCTCGAATTAGGACTATAAGACGCGCGGCAGCCGCTGCCCCTGGGCGACGGTCTGAAACCCAAGCAGCACGATCCTCGCCTTCGCCGCGCCGTCGCCTTTGACCGCCAGGCACCACTGCATCTGCGATGGCTTCCGCCATGTCTCGCGCAGAGCCCTTCCTGCGGCCTCGTCGGCCAACCAGCCGGGGATGTCGCTCCTGCAGGCCAGAGTCCACGCCGCGCAGCTTGATCTCAGGGATTGTCCTGAATCGCGGCGGGCGCCCAAGCTGCGGGAACACGCAGTAGACACTTGCCGCTACTGGGCAGCATGTTGTTGGGAAGCTCGAGCGGCGCCCTCCTAGCCGCTCGCGTCGGCCAGGGCGCCGCCCAAACTCGCGCCTGACGCGATGGCTCTCAGGAGCCCCGACGCCCTCGCAAGTGGGCGGGTGCTTTCTCGAGACACTTGGCCTGGAAACCCTGCTGGCTGCGCGCGGGCGCGCTGCGCAAGCGGCCGCGCTTCCGTCGCGCACCCTCGGGGAAAGCGGCGCGAGCCCAGGCGGGCGCGCGGGCCCCGGGCGCGCCCCCGACCCCCCGGGAGTCGGCGCGCCGACGGCAGGGCCAGCCAGGAGAGTCTGAGGGCTGGCCGCTCCAATGGGCACAGGGACCGATGGGGCGGTCTGCGAAGATACGTCAGCAAGCTCAATAGAAGCAGGCGTAGAGGCAGCTGGAGGCTCGCCTGGAGGCTCGCCGAGCGCGGCCGCAGGACCAACTGCCACCTCGACTCCCTCGCGCGGTTCCAACTCCACGATCTCCGCGCCGAGGCCCCCCCCCCCCCCCAAGCGCGGCAGCCGCGGCTCCGCCCCGCGCGGGCCCCGGACGTGTGCCAGCGCAGCCCGTCGATCGCCGCTTCGGTTTTGCTCGGCGGGAAGCGAGCGGCCTCGCAACCTACCTCGCGCGCAGCGGCCCCCGCCCCCCGCGCCTCCAGAGCCGAAGGCAGCGGAAGGGTCGCTCGGGCACGCGCCCGCAGTGGACCAGCAGCGCGACGCTGCGACCTCGGCCCCCCCCCCCGGGCCATCGAGGAGGAGACGGGGCCGCCCCGTGCCCGATGAGGCCGCCCTTCGGAACTCTCGGAGGTCTTGGCGCGGCCATTGGCCCCGGGCCCCCGCCTCGCAAAGACGAGCTCGCCGCGCTCGTGCGTCGCGTGGATCTCGCCAGTCTGGCCAGTAGCAACATCTTGTCTGCTCGAACTCCCGCGTGGGAATGCCTGGCCAGCGCGCGATTCTCACGCAGACCTTAGCCGGTGATCCGCTGCGCGCCTCCGCCCCCAATTGGCGCGCCGCGCCGCGTTGTGAACTGCCTGGAGGTCGTAGGGCACGCCCCTAAATGATCACTTCGGAGGTGGCGCCAACTGTTGGGCATTTTGCGATGTCTTGCGGTGGCCCACAGGAATAGCTGTCACGGAGCAGATAGGGCCCTGGTAGGCGACGCGAGCGCCCGCCTCCTTGACGACGCCGATCGTCGCCTGGATCCGTCCACACTCAAGTGCGCATCCGCGAGCTCGGGTGCCGAACTGATGCCCGCGCTGGTCGCGCGATCCCGCGGGGCGCGAGACCGGCGGGCGCCCTCGGACTCAGGGCGAATCTTTAGAAGCGCCCCCTAGCGTCTGCAGCAGCCGCCTGCGATGGACCTCCAGGTCTCGTCTGGCGCCCCGTTGCCCGCGCCGCCCCTAACCCGGGCCAAGTGGTGGATGTCGTCCACGCCTCGGCCCGCCGAGAGGGCCCTGCGAATTCGCGCATTGGTCGCGGGTCGGGCCCAGTCGAAGCCGTCGATCTGCAGCGCGCCCAATGGTTGCGCCAGCATGGCTGACGCCGCGGGCTGAGCGCGACACCTCTGGTTACGATCGCACGCGCTGCGCGCGAGCCCACCTGCCAATCGAAACACCCACCGGAGAGCCTCGCCGCCGAAGGAGAGCCTGGAAGGCTATAGGCGCAGGATGCCCCTGCTGATTGCGCAGCTCAAGTAGGGCTCGCACCGCGCCCTCGGTGCCTTGCTTGTCCGCGCCCCGATTAGCGCCCGCTCCTTCGGCGAGCATCAGGCGACCACTGTCTCGCGCCAACTCCATAAGCGCCGAAAGCCCGTAGAAATCCGCCCGCCGAGCCAGGGGTTTGCCCATCCCTCGATGATCAGAGCGAACCATCGATTTCATCACTAGTCGGCGTAGAAAGCAGGTAGCGGTCTCTCACCGAGGCAGCGGCAGCGCGCCACTATCTCTGTTGGCGCCGGCTAGGTCTTTCTTGAATTGGCCAGGGGGAATAACCAATCTGCGTCCCCAGTCCGTAGGCGTATGGGAACACCACGCAGCTCGCAGAGCTGCGGCGGCCGTTGTGCGGCGGTCCCCACTTATGGTACGCAACACATGCAATTACGTAAGTATGTAAAGTAATCCCACATGTAGACAGTGTACACCTGGAGAATAGAAGACACCAGCCCAAAGAAGTACTGACGTACAACATAAACCAATTGTTGACACATGTGATCCCAATAATAACCATTGAATACGGCTATAAACCATTGTCGGAGGAATTGGGTGCCCGTGGTTCCTTGTGCCGGCGGTCCAGCGCACGCTGCCGCATGCTTGCCATAGCCAACACCATTTTTGTCCAAGTGGTCGCGGTCCTCCTGGTGAGGTCCTCTGTCGGCCAGCCCAGCCGGCGGGTGAGGTCAGCCGTTGGTACCGCGATACCTTGCCGGAGGTCGGCGTTGGCTGTGCACGCCCAGTACATGTGGTCGAGCGTCGGGACGTGCTGCTCACCGCAGTGGTCGCAGGTGGTCGAGACCTCCTCGCCTTGGTTGGACTGCAGCAGGGCGTCCGAGACCACGCAGCCGCAGAGGGCGGCGGCGATGTGTGAGGCGAGGATTGGGTTAGCTTTCCGTGCTTCCTGTGCCGCGCGCACGGCAGCAGCTGGGAAGGGCGCTCCGGCCGCCATGGGGCTCCCCCGCCGGCTCCGGCCCTGTGGGATTGCCCATTCGTGGGATCGGAGTATGAGTCGTAGCTCGTGGAGCTGTCGGTCTGTCACGTCGGTAAGTCGAAGCTCTCCCGCCGGGCCTCTCCAGAAGCCGTCGTCGCTGCGCTCTGCTCCTAGCGACGCCAAGCGTGCTCGGTGGGCGTGGAGTGGCCCCCGCGTGTCGGTCTTGATCGCGATGTTGCCCCAAAGCGCAAGTGCTCCAGGCCCCTGTCGACGTAGTCTGCTGCTCAGAAGATGCAGTGCTCGCCGGCACAGGTGGTACCGTAGGTCGGCGCTATGCCCCATTACTACCAGACGCAGTAGTTCGGGAGCTGCCCGGGGCCATTTCCGCAGGGTCACAGCTTTTCGTGCTTGTCGTAGATGGTCCTGGATAGCTCCTTTTGTCGGTGGCGCCACCACTAGTGCCACGCTCGACACCGGCAGCGCGACGGTGCTCACCGCGGTCGCGCGCAGCCGCATGCTCAGGGGCAGGCACGCAATCCGCTTCATGCGAGCAAATGCCTATTCAAGCTTGCCTCGCTCTCTGGTCGTGCGCGTCGCGCGTTGCATCGTGAAGTCGATTCCGAGGCATTTCATCTTCTTGCTCTGCAGGTGGTGGTTGTCGCACTGGCGCGGTAGCATCGTGAAGGACTGCGTCTTGCTGTCGTTGGTGCGCAGCGCGGTGACCGACCCCAGCAGCTCCCACTCCTCCTCGATGCTCCGTCATTATTCTTCCTCTGTCGTGGCCGCCGTGCGGTCGTCCGCGAAGGTGCAGAAGGTTGCTCGCGGGCGCAGAACAGCTCGCCGTCGCAGTGGCCCCATGAGCAGGGTGGCCATCCCGAGCATGGCTGCTGGATCCCCTTGTGGCAGACTGTCTTCAACTCTTGAATTGGCCAGGTCCCTCGCGGGGCGAGCGCTGATACCTCGAATCCGATGTCCGCCGCGGCCCCGCATGTAGCGGGTGGTCATCGCGTTGCAGGCCCCGAAAGATCGAGTAACAGGCGTGCTTTCTGGTGAATTTAAGAACGCGCGTCGCGGGTTACGCTCCTTCAGGCGTT